CTGCATTTTGAGAGCAAATTTAGCTGACACAAACGGTTTCCACTTGATTGGCGGGGGGGTCGCCGCCATAGTTCCTGGAAATTTGGTAGTGATGCTACCAAACAGAAAATCCCACACCCAATTTTCAAACTAGTGCAATTTTAACTCAAACTGACACCCTAGTTTTAGACATATACCATTTTTCACTACACCGCACCTGTGGACTTTATGTTCATTTAAAAATACCTATACAATAACCTAGTACAATTTATTTTCTTTCTTAAATTATGCTTTGAATACATCTATCGCATATAATAACAATAATCTTGCATACCCGCATTATAAACCCAAATATACTAGTAGTTTATACCAGAGAGCTCCTCAAAATGCGGCACATCCAGGAAATTTGAAAGTATTGATTCTATTTTGAAATTATTTGTTCATAGTTCAAATAAAAGAAAATATCAACCAACGGCAACGGGGTGAGATAACTCATTTGATTTAATAGAGCATTATGAAAAATTATTCCCGGAATTATTCTAAGGACAATGACACGGAAACGAGAAAATGCACGCAAAGGGTCAGTAATTCGTTGAGGGCGCTAAATATGCCCAGCATTCCTGTGCAATCATGGCGGCCACGGAGCAGAAAAACAACCAGACCACCACGAAAAACGCCCCATTTAACATCGCTGGCGAGTTCAAGACACTCCGATCATTATGCATCGACAACATCGAATACTTCCAAAGAAGCAAAAGTCAGTACAAAGACCGTTATTTCACTGCTTTCTGTGTTATAATGCAAACAGCTGATGCGACAGAGCCGTTGTTGGAAGGATTTCAACGCATCGTTCACCACTTCGATTTCGATGAAAACACACCCGGAAATGGATACAGAAGTCTTCTACACGTAGTGTTCTGCTGTATTAAAAAGCTGATCGAAACTGCCAAGTATATAAAAAATGGTAGAAGCGGTTTGATGTTCAGATCTTCTGTGTATTGTTGTGAAATCGAAGGATATTCTAATGTATTCGGACAACTGAAGCTGTTACTAGGGCAGGCACAGAAACTGTTAGGGGGATCCAAGCCCGGAGAACTCTTCCCTGATGAAGAACTTTTTCCGTTGATGGATGAAATGTTGGTAGAAGCAGAATCTCTCTACCGGGAATGCTTTTATGGACGATGTCTTGGTTTCCAGGTGAGAACAAAACTATATTTAGAGTCGTGACTCACCACGACCACACGATCTAACTTGTTCTGCACTCACAATGCTGTAAAACACTTTGAAAAAGCTACATCTAGTTTAGCGAATTTGGCTGAATGCATGAATTTTCAGAATCTTAATTTAGCTAAAGTAAAATGTACTTTCTTTTAAATTAGCTATAAATTGAGTTAACTAAATTATAGATTAGCTAAATTATCTAAAGGAACATGCTAGCTAAAAAGACCATTAAAAAGTGTGAGGGAGAGATGGTGGATTTTGACACAATTAATCTGCACAGAGAAAAAGTTTTAGAAAAAAAAAAAAACATTATACAGGAAAAGCAAACTAATATATTCATAAAAAACATGTTATACATACATGTATACTTGAAAGAGACATCATTGTAAAAAACTAGGAATGAGAAGATTTCTCCCTCAAAACTTTCTTATGGTTAACCCCTAAATTGGTCTTTTTTTGGGGGGGGGGGGCAATAAATTATGTAACAAGTTAGAGAGGGTATGAAAGAGTTCTTTAAAACCTGTACTTGCAAAACAGTCTAGGCAGCTTATCATATTTTCGGTTGAGTGAGTGGATGATATATAAACACACATTCTCCGTACAGTTCAGTCTATGATCAGCCTAAGGTCACAGGTCACTGAAGTCACATAACAAAAAACAAAAACAGGACAAACAAAAGTGCACATAATAAAAGGTACATGTAACACACACAGTGCGAGTGGAATCCAGGACTGAATTGTTTGGTTTGGTTTGTTTTGTATCACAGAAAAAGTTTGTAATTATTATAACTCACTAATAATTCACTATTTGATGCCAAAGATCATGTCAAGGTTTTTATGTAAAAATTCACAAGAAATCTAATTTCTAAATTCTACTTCACAGGAACATGAGTTACATATGTATGAATTTCAGAAACAAACGTATGCTGATTCAGTATGGTGTAGAAACAAATCTGTGTGTTTTGAGTAATTAAATAAATCGAAAGCATGCTCCACTTTGCTGGTCCTCAGACAACTATTAGTTGACTGTGGCTGGTCTCAGCAAAAATACTGTAACTGAGGTGTTTAGTTTTGAAGCATTGATGAATGAGACTTCCAGTAGTTGTGATAGTTGTTTTTCACAACCATCCTGGATTCTGCTTTGGACATTTGAACATTCATCATCAGTCAGCTTCAATGTTGCCCTTTGGTGATGTCAGAAATTGACATTTCTATTTTCCCAGGTACATGTTTTATTTTTTTTTTTGGAAGGCTGGCAGACATGAAACAGGGATATTATTTTTCTGCATTAACAACTTATATTGAGAATTGATTACAATTACTTAATGTGGGGTGGGAGAGATTTTGGAAGTAAAACATTTTTTATTGGTAAAGAGAAAAAAAAATAAGAACGTTCATGACTGCGTAATGTAAAAGAAAAAAACATGAAAATAATTTTGTTGTCTGGCTAAATAATTAATAAATAAAAACTAAATCTGTTCTTATTTTTATTATATACATTTTGTACCCTGGTAGTACATTGTACATTTTTGAGTACCCGGTAGATAACTTACTATTACATGCTATATACTTCTTATGTTTTCACACTGGATTAATACTGTTATGCATTGGTTGGTTCATAGAAACAGACAGACAGTGAAATGATCTATAGTGTAGCATAATATAAATGCAATTCTATTAGAGATGCGCTTCTAATAGAGAAAATATGGTACTTAGTCACCAGACATTCATGAAACAAAATAGAATTTTTTTTTGAAAGTTATAATCATTACAGGAAGAATGCAGTATAGATATGTACAATAGAGTTACCTTGCGTGTCTGCGTCATTCATTGGTCATGTGACATTCATTGGTCATGTGACAACAATAATAGTAACATAACACATGAATGCCTTAAGTGTATATAATAGTCTAGTGCTGTACAAAACATAGCAATCCTCAAAATACAAAGGTAATATTTGACTGACTGAGTAATGTACACCTCATTAGTAACTCTCATAGCATTTGTGTCAGTGCTCTTCAAAACCTAGTGAATGAATGTATTTAAAAAGAAAAAAATATTATTAAACGCAGTAAATATTATATTTAACCAGATTTTCCATATCAATATTGTGTGTCGTTAAATATTACATTGATTATTGACATTGTCATTATTTAGATATTAATAGAGATGAATAAACTTGTCAGTTAGTCATTTACAGTGATATATGTACCTGGTGCTTAAAATTAATTAATTAGTATCAATATTCATTACCAACATTGCAATTTTTTTAATGTAAACTGTTAAATTAGAAATTTTGAACCAGTGAAAATAAAGAAGGTATTCAAAATCTTCTTAGAATGAAAAATACTGTTCATTCACATTTCCTTGGTAACAAACCTTGGAGTACACAAATAACACACCCAAAAACAATATCCAACGTCATGCTAAATAGGCTTTATTGCAGTTACCACAATGAAATACAGTTCAAATAAGATCTGAATAAAATAATAATATTGATCTAAATATGTAGTCTAAATATGAAGGTAATTTTATTGACACATATCTGTTTAAATTCACTGTAGACACCGCTATCATTCACTGTAGACACCGCTATCATTCACTGTAGACACCGCTATCATTCACTGTAGACACCGCTATCATTCACTGTAGACACCGCTATTATTCACTGTGGACACAGCTATCATTCACTGTAGACACCGCTATTATTCACTGTAGACACAGCTATCATTCACTGTAGACACCGCTATCATTCACTATAGACACCGCTATCATTCACTGTAGACACCGCTATCATTCACTATAGACACCTCTATCATTCACTATAGACATCGCTATCATTCACTGTAGACACTGCTATCATTCACTATAGACATCGCTATCATTTACTATAGACACCTCTATCATTCACTATAGACACTGCTATCATTCACTATAGACACCGCTATCATTCACTGTAGACATCGCTATCATTCACTGTAGACACCGCTATCATTCACTGTAGACACCGCTATCATTCACTATAGACACCTCTATCATTCACTATAGACATCGCTATCATTCACTGTAGACACCGCTATCATTCACTGTAGACACCGCTATCATTCACTATAGACATCGCTATCATTCACTTTAGACACCGCTATCATTCACTGTAGACACCGCTATCATTTACTGTAGACACA